TTTTGGTACTGGGAATCAAACTCAGGACCTTGCGCTTGCTTGTGAGGCAGGTGGTGGCACCACTGAGCTAAATCCCTGGCCTGAAAAGTGTATTTTTTAATTACAGACTTCCAGAAAACAAGAGTATTAACTTAGAATAATGCTTATCATATAATGCTGCATGAAAACAATTCAGAGTATTTATGCTGAGTATAACTCAAATCACTGATGGACTGTTTATGGAAGAAATAGGAAATAAGACATTTAGACTAATTATTTAAAAATTTATTTCTGCAATAAAATTATTTCTAGTTATATATTTTTAAAATTATAATGTTTCCTCCTGTTCCTATCAATAGTCACTGCCCAAGACCTTTGGGAAGCAAAGGCTTAGTTGAATAACATGAAGAAGCTTACTGGCCTGCAGGTCACTGGGAATACAGCATTTCGTTACTAAGGAGGAGAGCAGGTTAAATAATGAATAATCCTTTTTTCTCCTGCTTCATCTTGTTTGCCCTTTCACTTGATCCCATGCATGGTACTGTTGGTAAGATGCATAGTGCCATAATAATAAACTGACCACAGGATTTAGTCCAGAGGCTGGGTTCACATTCTCTCTGTTAAGTTCACTATGTGCCTTTCAGCAACCAATCTAACTTCTCCCACTTCTCATATTTATAAAAGAAGTATTGGGTAGATTGAGATATATATATTATATATATTGTATATATAGTTTTACAATAAAAAGCTCTATGCATGCATTGTTACTGTTTTTAATAAATTCATGAATAAGTTGAAATAGGGAAAAAATGAGACATACTTAGCCAACTAAATTTAGTGTGTATTTGGAATGTTCCTAAAATTATTTTTTTCTCTTTCTGGTATAGGGATCTTTTATTTAGCCAAATGTATGATAAATTAAGTGAGAATTCAGTGGCCAAAGGAGTGTTTTTGGAGTGCCTTGAACCATATATTTTAAGTGATAAATTGGTGGGGATCACACCACAAGTAATGAAAGACTTGATTGTTCATTTCCAAGATAAAAAGTTGATGGAAAATGTGGAAGCCGTCATTGTACATATGGATATCACCAGCCTCGATATTCAGCAGGTGAGTTTACAGTCTGCTAATGTGCAAAATAAACATTATTCCCTTATTGATTCTATTTACCTATATGCCTCTTGAATACTCCAGTTACTTATTCAGCACTTTTGGTAAGATGTCTTGGGAGCTTGTATTTGTCAGTGTATTTCTTAGTGTTGTACATAAGTGAATGCTAGATAATAAATGCCTGCAAGCCAGGGATCATATCTCCTCTCTTTGGCATTCTCCACAGCTCTTAATATAGAGTTTGCATTGATTAATTGCTTAATAAATGCTTCTTGACTGATTCTTTGTCAGTTTGTTGTTCACCAGCACTGTTTTCATCTAACAGGTGAATTTTAGCAATGACTACTTTCACATGAATAAGAGAATATTTTTGCTTTCAGAGGATGATGATATTTTTAAAAGAGCTAGTATGTAAGGGGAGAACTGAGTTTTGAAATGCAGAGATCAGGGGAGAGGCAAATTATAGTACAGTACTTCTTAGTGTGAGCAGCCAGCCCATTGTTTGATAACATACCTTCAGTATATCTGAGGTTCCCACAGTAAATTTTCAGTTCTTAATTGAGGGTTGATATCTACTCTGGCTTAAAATATTTCACTATTTATTTATTTACTTCCACATTAGTCCTAATCATGAGCATGTTATTCCTGCAAAAGTGCTCAGCCATTTTGAGAAAAAATTCAATATAGGTGACTTACAAAAATTTAGATCAAAAGTTTTTTGGGGTTTTTTTGGTACTGGGGATTGAACTTGGGACCTTGCGCTTGTTGTGCAGGCAACAGAATCACTGAGCTAAATCCCTGGCCTAGACCAAAAGTTTTTTTGAAGTGTGCAGAAAACATAAAAGTGGAAGGCTTGAAAAAATGATTATTCTCTTTCTGGAAGCTCTTAAAGAATGCCTGCAAATTTACAAAGTAAAGCCAGATCTTTTTTTTTTTTTTTGCATGTCTATTATATAGGGAATTTGGCATAGTCTTTGCAGTCTGACAGTAGTCCAATAATTTGAAAGCACGCTATCAATCTAGCTTTATGTACCTGTCATATACAGGGGACATTTTTATTTCTAACATTTTTCAGCTTTTCCCCAACAACATGTAAATATGCTGTAGCCTTTTTCTTGTTAAGACAGTAATTAAAAACTTTTCCCCTCAGTCTCTCATCTGAATATATGTAGCCTTCCCCTCTTCCCCTTGAGTGGCTGCCCCACCTCACTCCTCTTAGTCATAGCCAGTTTTCTTGAAAACATTCCCTTGGGTTGCTATTTCCTATTTTTTCACACCCTGATGATTTTTCAGCCTCACTTTCACTAGAGTCAGCAACGGACTCTCTTTACTACGTCAGATACTATTTTTGAATCCTTATTTTGCTTGCTCTTTCCACAGTGTTTATTACTTCAAGACGTATTTGACTATCAGACTTGAGGATCTTGTAGCTACTTCAGAAGGGAACAAGGCTTGCCCACTCATAAACTTTAAATTTTAGTAGAAAAATTTGACAGTAAACAGATAAACAGTAAACAAACCAGAAAATATCCCCTCAAAAAAATGTTATGGTAAAACTCAAACAGCAGGGCCAGGGATTTAGCTCAGTGGTTGCACCGCCTGCCTCGCAAGCTCAAGGACCCGAGTTCGATCCCCAGTACCAAAAAATAAATAAATAATAAAAATCAAACACCAACATGATAGCGAAAGAATGAGAAGTTACCTTAGATTAGCTAGTTATAGAAAGCCTTTCCAAGAAGGTAACATTGAGTCTTGGAGTCTGAATGACAAGAAGGAATCAGCAATGCAGAGATCTTGGAAGAGAAGGTTATTAGGTGAAACAACTACAGCAACAAAAGGCAGGGAGAGGCTCTTCATCGAATATTGATGTAAGAAAAGAAAGGCAAGCAGATTGGGAGCTTGGTGAGAGAGAAGTAGACCTTGAAGTACATTCACATTTTTCTACTTTATTCTAAGTACTATGAAAAAATCATTAGAATTTAAGCAGGATCACTCTGTTCCAGAGATACTAACAGTAAGATGGACAGGGTTGGCCAGATTTTGGATATTAAATCAATTTTCTGGTGAATTGGATATGAGGATGTGGGAGTGTGGGAATGAGAGAATTTAAAGGTGATTCATAGTGTTTTCTGGCTTTAAAACATGGTAGACAGTGATTCCTTTAAGAAGACTGGAAGGCTGAGGCAGTTGTCTCCTGAGAGACAAAATCCAGGAGTCTTGCTTTGCCATTTTACATGAAGATATCCAGGCAAATATACCATGGAAGTGTCTGGATAGGTCAGAGGAGAGGCTGATACTGAAGCTACAGTGTGTTAGTCATTAGTTAAGGAGACGCCTGTTCATGCACTGGCTGAGACGAGTGGAGAGAGAAGAGGAGCTTCCAGCACATGGCTTCCTCTAGAAAAGATTCTCACAAGGCATCTCACTTCCATTTTTCTACTTCCTGCTGTGGATACTTGTAGGGAACAGGGGAAGGGGACGTTACCAGAACCTCTGCAGTGAGTCCTGGTCTCCTGCGAGCCACAGCAGCACGCGGCGAATTACAGGAAAGGTAGACAAATGAGACTGAGAAGAAGCTGAGCTTTGGGTCTGATCCGTGCTGTTCTGGGCGGCAAAGACAAAAGCCCCCAGTTTACCACACCTTTTATTCAGTACCTCATAACAAATGACTTGCAGAGAATTCAGTACATCGGGAGAAACAAATGTAACAAATGACTTGCAGAGAGTTCAGTAGTTCACATTGGGATAAACAAGGTGTAACAGAAGGCTTGCAGAGAGTTCAGTACATCTCGGGTAAACAAGATGTTAACAGTCTAAGAACAATGAGGAACTGAGCAGATGTTTGTTCTCCCAGGGTGTTTCTTGTCCTGGAGAATCACAGCATCACTGGATCACTGAAGTCTCAGTTGTGACCGGAGGCCAAACTGGAGTTATTCTGTAGCTGGGCTGTAGGCAAGAGAACTAGGCTAACCAAATGATTTTTCCCTAGAATTATGTAGCATTGCTCCCAACAGATACTTCCTACTGTTCTCCTGTGCCAATCTCTACTCTTCTACTCCAGCCCTCTTGTCATTTGATGGCATTACATAGCTCTCATAGGAACAGAATATATGAGTATCTCATACTGCAAGACAGAGCTATCCCTTTGCTTAGATATTTTGTCAAATTGAATTCTCTCCATCCTTCCACTGCAGGTTCTTCATGCTTACTGTCTTCTACCTACAGACTCCCTCAGTTCTACTTCTGCTTTTGGCTTGTGTGCATGCATCCTTTAGGCATAGTTTAAATGATGACTCTGAATACTGTAGACGGGGTCAGTTTTCTTTATAATGTTTTTCACATTTGTAAATAATGAAATATTTGTATATTTTATTATCTTCCCCAAATCTTAACTCATGCTATTTTGTGCCCTTCCTTCCTTTTGGTGGCTGTTCATGGTGAATGTAAGTTCTGTAAATGTGTGGACTAGGAATGGATTTGTCCATTGCTTTATCCCTGCTGCCTAAGAGATGGTGTGACTGCAGATGTTTTGTAAATATTTGTAGAACTATGGATATTGAAAAGAGAAGAGACAGGGCCAGGGATTTAGCTCAGTGGGTCCGCCACCTGCCTTGCAAGCACAAGGACCTGAGTTCAATCCCTGGTACCAAAAAAAAAAAAGAAAGAAAGAAAGAAAAGAGAAGAGGCAAAGTTAGACATTGGAGGGATTTTAAAGTAGCTATTATACTATTAAAAGTAATATTTAACCTATGAATTTAAGATCTCCATTCTTCAAGCTTTAAGGAAAATAATTGGTGAAACTTACTGAATTATATGGACCAAGTGATTTTTCCTTTTTACAGATAGTTCTCATGTGTTGGGAGAATCGACTATATGATGCTATGATTTATGTCTACAACAGAGGCATGAATGAATTCATTAGTCCAATGGAGGTAGGGATACTTCCTAACTTAAGACACACATTTAATACTGTTTATTAATTTTTCCCCTTATTTTCGTTTGCTTTGAATTGTTTATTTTCATCCAGTCATTTCAAAATGTGTTGTTGATTTATTAGACTTAGGCCCATTTTTAAACTTTTAATTTTTATTAGTACATGTTTGCAGTATATTATGATTCCATTCATCATGAGACGTTGTGGATGTATATAACACATCTTAATTCTTTTTTCGTTCCCTTTTTCTCTCCTCCTCCATCTCTTAGTCCCCTTCCTGTTATAGACTTGTAGTGATTTTAGCTTGGGACTTATAAGTAGTATTAAATTTTTTATTTTTTATTTTTGGTGCTGGGGGCTTAAGCTCAGGGTTTTACACATGCTAAGCATGTGCTGTTCCACTGAGCTACACCCTTAGCCCGAGTAGCCTTTAATTTCATTATTTTCTGCTATTGCTTTCTTATCTGCCTAAGTGGATATTTAATCCCAGAGAACAATAGATTAAAATTTAAAGTAATCCTTGCTTTTTAGACTTTAAGTTTTCTTCTCCTAAGAATTTTTTTATACCATAGTAACTTTTCCAAGAGATGTGACATTTATTTTATATAATTATTGTATGTAATAAATGTGCTGGTTAATGCTATTTTGCATGTATATTCTTCTGAGAGAAAGTCCTGAAAATTACAGGCCATTACTTGTTAATTGCTAATGTGTTGCTTTTCCAAAGTTGGAATTTTATAGCGTTTATGATAACTTTTTATTTTCCTTACCTATAGAATCCAAAAAGCATTTAAGCTTTTATTTTATCCATTTGTTTGGCTCAAATTGAGGACTGAAGTATAGATAATGGAGCTGCAAATACACATAGTGCCTAGCCCACTGCTTTATTATAGTGATTAATGTACCTCAAGAGAGCCAGGCGTCCCCTAAAGGCATGCAGTCAACTCTTGTGCAAGTTTAATGTCATTCAGAACTGTCTTCAGTATTATTAAGTCAGCAGTCATTCCTCAAATTTCATTCTTCTTTGAGCACATTAGGGAGGGTGAGCATCTCTAACTCATCACCCTTCAATTTTGGTCGCACCTCTCTTTTCTTGGTCAGTGTCTGGAATTAGCACATCTTTTTCCCCCTGCTTTTATCTATATGAAAAGTATTGTTTCTCTTAACACCTTCAGCTGCCTCCTCAGTGAAGTCTGGTTCTTCCCTACATGCGAAAATGTTCTCTAAGCCACGATACTGGACCACAATTAGGAAAAATTAATTTAGTTTTGAGGTTTCCTCAAAATAACCCCTCAAGGCAGATTCTAATTTGATGCATTCTATATTAACAAACATGATTGCTGGACTTGATGTTGCTTTTGAAAGGTTTTTTTTGTGTGGTTATTTTTATTCCTCACAGTCTGGTTTACATTTATTACCTGTACATCTTACATGGAACACTGGGCTATTGAGATTGCCTTATTTTGTGATCAGAGTAATTTTCAAGTTTAATGGCTTTCAGCAAGAGCTTGGTATCTATTATTAAACAGTCACTTGTAGATTTTAGCAGTGGGAGGTTAGGTGTATCCTATGGCTTCTCTTTTCTGATTCTCTGTTTATAAGGAAATCACTTTTCAGTGTTAAACTTTAGCTGTTTTAGTACTTAAAGAGGTCTGTATTATGAGGAGGTATCCTATCTTTTGAGATTTTCTAAATTTTTCAGAGTAAAAGAGTGTTGTCACATTTGAAATGACTAGCCTCTGAAATCTTTCCTTAGTTCAGTTTTGACTATTTCTGAGGTGAATGCTGGAAGGAAAAACTTACCCTGCCATTTAAGTCCCAATGGTGAGGGAAAATAAGCAGTTGAGAGTGTGGAAGGGACTACAGTATATAGAGTAATAGGAGAAAAGGCAAGTTTTGTCCACATGTGTGTGAGAACACTACGGAATAAGTATCTCTGCCGAGCAGTCCGAGGGAATGTTTATATTAACAGTTTAGCAAACAAGTCGGGGAGAGGGCAGAGTTAGGATTTCAGTGAGAAAGTTTAGAAAGTTCTCCAGGGACTATTTCATTTTATTTGAGATGAAACTGCCCCCAAACTCCTGGGCTCAAGCAGTCTTTCTGCCTCAGCCTTTCAAGTAGCTGGGACTACAGGCATATACCTAGTTCTTTTGGGCTTTTTGATACTAATGGACAGCTGAATTTGTACTTTCTAGTGCTAAGGGTCAGTCTTCTCCCAAACAGGAAACTCCTGGATGGGGTGGGGGAATGCTCATGGCAGGCGTATTTTTGGGGAGACTTTGCTTAAGTTTAGATAATGTTTCTTTCTGTGGCTGCTAATTATTAGATGTTTTCAGTTTAAAGTAATCTGCATAACCACTTTGGTGAGATGTTAATCCCTTCATTTGCTTGCTACTTCTTAAAGAATAAGGCTCTTTCAAGAGCCTAAGATACCTTGTATCAGAAATTATAATCTCAACATAAACTTTAGTGTAACTGGTTTTTATTAAATGATTTCTTACAGTGAAGAATCTGACAATGATTTTTTTTCCTTAGTGATCCTGCTAAAGAGTTCATGTACAGTAAGTTTTTATATTTAATCTCAACAGTAAGCATCACTAATTCCATCTCAGAAAGGTGATGAATAACAAGGTTCTTGATTGTCTTTAAAAATTATCTTTTGAAATGATGGTGATTGTTTTTCTATTAATTTTAATGCAGAAACTTTTCAAAGTCATTGCTCCTCCTCTGAATGCAGGAAAAACATTAACAGGTATTAATTTTCTAAGTCTTAATTTTTTTCTCTTTTTTGTATTATTTAAATGCTATAAAAGTCATGAATTATATGTTTGCAGTGTGAATGTTGATAATCATATCTTATCATGTAACCATCACCATAATCAAACCGTAGAAAGAACTATATAGTTCCTGATACTAAAAAATTTCCTCTTACCCCTTTGTACTTCTAATTTCCTTTGTGATATAGGTTATTTAGAAGTGTTAAGTTTATTTTTTAGTTTCCTACATTTCTTTCTATTTTGAATTATAAATGATTTCTAATTTCATTCTACTTTAGTCAGAGAACATGCTTTTTATGTTTTCTGTCTTTTAATTTATTGAGATTCATTTTTATGATGTAATACATATATGGTCTCTTATGGAGAATGTTTCACGTGTGCTTGAGAATAATGTGTTGAATGTGTTCTCTTGTTTAGTGAAATGTTCTGTAGATGGCCTGGGGAATCTAGTTGACATGTAGTTTTGTTAAGGCCTTCTATTTTCTGTTCATCTTCTGCTAATTGCCTTATCCATTATTGAAAATGTGATATCAAAGTCTTCAGATATTATTGTTGAGTTTTCTTCTACTTCATTTCTGTCAGTTCTTGCTTAATTTTTGTAGCAAGTATTTATTAAATATTTAACACTAAAGTGAATGACAAATAATTTCATCCAGCAGTCTTTAAACTTCTTAAAACAATGACAGTATTTCTTATAAAAATTCTTATGTTCATGATAAATAAACTGTCGGCATTATAAAAATATTTGTAATTCAAATTTAAAGGTATATTCCTGCCAGATTCACCCAGTTGTCACTTATTTGAACTGAAACAAAAATATTGCATTTTAATAACATTCTCCAAACATTCATGAATATATTCTCCCTACTTTAAGCTTTACATAGAAGGTTTTGATTTTATGGGAAACACATTGTCCATGAAATTTTCTAATTACATATTTGCAATCTGAATATTAAAAAACATTTACACTTTGAACAGTCAGGAAGGCAGAACCTGAAAGACATTCTTTACAAATGTCATAGGATGGGATCCAAAGCAAGTTCCCCAGAGAGGAGATGGGGACCTCAGCTCAGCCCACGGAGTAGACTCATTGACTCTCACACAGAGAAGCATTTCAGGATGTGTCTGTGTGAGGCATAGGCAGGTTTATTAGGCAGAGTTGGAAAGTAAGGGAGGATGGAAAAGGACTGTAGCTTGAGCAGCGGGGAGCGGGAGGAGGCCACCCTCTGATGAGGTTTGGACTGGCCCACCCACAGAAGAGCAAGGGCTGCCTTTAGGTATTTGTTAGAGTGGGCCAGGGTCTGGTTAGTCATTATTTCAGTTCTGGTTTCATAGCTCTGGAGAAATCCTTATAAATTGAGGGAAAATTTGATTGCCATGAGATGATTGTTCTTATTTTGTGGTGGGGAGGAGCCTCAGTTCCTGTCGTGAGGTAATTGTTCCTGATTGGGGAGGTGTCTCATCATGGGGTGGTCTGAGAGCTTTGCTTTTCCAGGAATCCAAGGAGATTGTAGTTTTAGGACAATTTTTGGGAATGCTCTAGGGGTTTAGAATTGGACATAAAAGCTGGCAACTGAATGTCCCTGCAAATCCTGAAAATTAGTTACTCTTATTTGATGTCATCAGCCTTGAGGGGTTTGAAATAGATTAGGTAAATTTAGGGCTAATAAACTTTGTGATAAGATTAACAGTAAATTAAGCGATTAACATGCCTAAGTGCAGAGCTGAGTAGGAATCTAACCTCAAGTTTTAAAGTAATAAGGAGAGAAAAAAATTGAAAGCAGAGATGCCAGTCTTCATCCTGCTCTTACTTACCATTGGGCATCTGTAGGCCCAGCCTCCCGGTCAGTGATGATGAATCTGTGGCACATGTGCTGCAGTGGACTGTATCATTGAAAGCTGTAAAAGGTTCGCCATCACTGTTCTGGTTCCTTGTTACAAATCCTCTTGTCAGTATTGAGGGAATTGGAGTTTTGGCCAATCCACCATTGTGAGTTTTCTGGCCAGGTAGTAAATTAGTGGATGAGAAGGGCACAAGCTGAGTTTGAGTCTCTGCACTCCCTGGTCCCAAGTCTGGGGAGTAAGGGTGTGGAGGACAGGTATGGATAACCTTGAGTAAATTTGGTCATGCTTTAGAACTAGTTTCCTCATTGCCTTTCTACCTACTGTTATTTCTTCTGTCCTACCTCAACAAGAGGCTGCTGTGCTTCCATTAGGAATAGACCATTGACATAAATTTATGTTTCTATGTCACAAATGTAGGTATTACTCAGAATTATTTTATACAGTCGGTATTTTTTAAATTTTTTTTTTGTTCAAAAACGTGATTTTTATTTCAGTCAGGAAGAGACATCTATACTTCTTCCATTTCAAACTCATCTGTCTACTTTCACAGGTCTTTTGGGTTATGTTTCGTCTGTAGTTTTGCGAAGTAGCCTTTTCCTAGTAATAGATTCTTAAATTCTTTTTACTTATAAGCTATTTTCTTTAAAATTTTCTAGTAACATCTGCTAGTTTAGGGACATTTAGTCCATAACTCTTTGCTTCAGTTCCTCTGGTCATTCGATAAAGAAAAGTAAAAACATCAGGACTTGATGTTCTTTGCTTGGACCTGCTCACTTTTACACTTCTTAACCAAGCATCTCATATGGTAATCCCCTACCTGTTGTGAGTAACTTGTTTAAGTTAACAAATGGGGTGGGTGGTGATGGGTGATGAACATGGTCTATGATTTCACATCTTTAATAAGACACTCAGGTTTAGCATAAACAATGGTCATCCCATCATGAGTACTCTTCCCTCTTCTCAATTCATTCAGAATAATCAAGGACTGATACTACTTTTCTGATTATTTTTTGCTGTGTCAGTCAGCTCTTCCATAAGTGTAATCTGTCCTTTATATAAATTGTTGGCAGCACCTCCTGAAATGCTATCCATGGTCCCGATTATTATTTTCTCTGAAGGAATTTAAGAGTCAGTCTGAGCTGTGATACGAATCAGTGCACCTTGTTTTATGAGGAGCTCATTCCACCCACGTTTGATCTGGCAATTACCACTGCATTCTATGAATCCTCAGTTCTACAGCTCCAAGAATGTGGTACTGGCTTCTGCTGGGCTGTGGTGAGGCCCTCCTGGCAGATGTCTCCACATGACGGAAACACATGCATGAAGGATTGCGTGCTCACGCATGAAGCTGGAGATCCAGTTCTTACTTAGTTTCATTTTGGAATTTTCAGTTTCCAGCAAGCTAATTTTGCCTTAGCCTTCTTTTCCTGCTTGAGTAGAGCCTCAAAGAGAGCCATAGAGTATAGAATAGGGCCATTTCTGGTCTTCCATGGGTTTGTACACAGCCCTGCACATATGCAAGTCCTTCTAGAATTCCAGGAATACTAATGCCTCAAACTTACGAATTCCAGGAATACTATATGTCGGAGCTTTTCAGAACCCCCTGCACACCTTTGGTTTATCCTTGTAAGTTTTTTGGAGGGCCTTTTACTATTTCCGGTTGTTAACAACATCTAAGCAACTGTACATTACACAGTAGCACTCTTTGTTCTTACAAATGACCTGGGTACAGTGCTGTTTCACTGGAATGGCTCCTGAGTCAGGCTAAGAATGACAGGGAGATTCTGGGTTGTTATTTTTCTCCATTCAGTATTTTGCCCTTTGTTTTATCAGGTAATTTTCCTAAGAATGGTGCTTTTAAGTGAGTTCCCAGTTGTGTCTGATAAACATTTCTCCAAGGATGGGGCATTTTGAAGCTCCAAACCCATTCTTCCCTGTAGGTGGCTGCCAGGTTGCTGGTTTTCATAGCTCTTGATGTTGAGAGGCTGATAGGGTTTGTTGTTGTTATTGCTTTGTTTTGAGGCAGGGATTCACTGGGTAGTTCAGGCTGGCCTCAAACTCACACCAATCCTCCTGTCTCAGCCTCCCAAGTGCTGGAAGGTAGATGTGTGCCACCATGCCCGGCTGAGATTGTTGGTTTTAAAAGCAACCATGGAGCTGTGGACAGGGATGGTAGGTAAGAACTGCTACAGAGCTTACTGTTCTGACTGAGATCCAGGCATTTTTCTGGAATAAACACATTCCTCAGATTATGGCAGATCTTCAGTTTTTCAAGAGTTTTGAAAAGTTGATTTTGATAGTTTTTACCAGTGTTTTCATTGCTTTCATGGAGGAACAGATTTTTGGAGGGCTTGATTTCACCATTTTAAGGTCTCCCTTGCTGGATTTTGGGTTGGGTTTGGTTTGGTTTGGTTTGTAGTGCTAGGGTTCAGACCTGCACATGCTAGGCAAACACTCTCGCAGTTAGCTAAATCCCCCAACCCCTTGCTTTTGGTTCACTTGGGTTTTCACCCCCTCTCTTTTCTTCATGTTATATGGTTTCTATTACCCTACCTTCAGATTCACACGTCCTTTCCCCTTTTATAGTCACTCAGCTGTTAAATCCACCCAGTGAATTTTTATTTTCAAGAGTTGCAGTCTTTAGCCAGTAATTTTTTTATTGGTTCTGTTTTTTGCTGGGACTCTTCATTTATCTTTTGAAATCTTTATGTATTGAAACGTGTCTTACTTCCTTGAGGATACTTGTAATAGTTCTTTTAAAATCTTTATCTGTTCTAATATTTTGTCCATCCCAGGATTGGACTTGATCCTCTTTCCTCTTAAGAAGATACATTGTTTCATTTTTTTGGATTCTTCATATGCTGGGAAATTTTCTCACCAGCTAGCCTGGGTCCTTGCTTTAGTGATAATGGCAGTTAAACTAGAGTGACAGTATGGATTTATTGGCTAAAGATTTAATTGGAAAGTGAGAGAGAAGATAGGGAAGGACTCCAGCTTGATGAAGAGATTCAGAGCGGCCCATGAACAACAAGGGGCCAGTTTTATGGGGTCCTACACAAGGCTGGCATCTAGCTGATTATTAGCTCAGCCCTGGAGGAATCCTTCCAGCCTGGGATGATTGCGTTCCGTG